TAAAAAATGGATTTTTTTGTTAGTTAAAAAAGAAAGTTTTAAAAAAAAAAAAAAAAAAAAAAAAAGAAAAGAAAAATTTATTCTGCTTTGTTCTTTAAAAACTTTGATGAGAGATTAATACATCAAGCTTGGAACTTTAAACATCATTGCACGACTATGATAGTTATCTACTGCGATATGGATGACTGTTATGATCTCCTAGGGTATCGTCCACAGTTTCCCTTTCCCTCTTCCAAGTCATTCATTGTTGGAATATAAAATCCACATCAGCAGAATATTCCAGCTTAACAGGATATTCACTTTCAGCTCGACCAAGTCCATGTCCGTCATATTACATCTTATTCCAAAATTTCCAGATTCTAGAGACTTCCTAGTTAGCTAGTTATTTTCTCTATAAATACTAGAGTTTGTACACATTTTAATTCATTGGATTGTAGTCTCCAATCCCTCCTTCCTTGGAGGTTTCTTCCTCCTATATGGAGTGTCTTTCCTCTTTTGTGGAGTGTCTTTATCTTCCTCATATTATGTAAGAATGATTAAAATCCACCTTAATTTCAGTGGTGTATCGTATTGCATTATATAGAGCTTTACAAGATAGTATAAATGGAATACAAATCAATAATTTACAATGAAATGGAAACCGTGTAAATTAGCCTCCTTCAATTACGTGATTGGCATTGGCATGCTATGGGAAGATTGTGATTGAGGAGTAATCCTCAATCACAGTATTATTTCCAACACCCCCCGCAAGCTCAACGTCGGACTTCTGATGAAAGACAAATAGAGATGTGTCCGCACGGCTGCAAGAAAACCCAAGGCGAATAATAAAGAAGCTGAAGCGCTGAAACCAAGCACGAGGGGCATGTTTGAGACCATAAAGAGCTTTCTTCAACTGGCAAACATGGTCTAGAAAGCGAGGATCAATATATCCTGGAGGCTGTTCCATATAAACTTGATCAGTAAGAGTACCATTGAGGAATGCATTTTTGACATCAAGTTGATGAAGGGGCCATTTTTGTGTAACAGCGAGAGAGAGTACAACCCGAACAGTAGTAGCCTTGATTACGGGACTAAAAGTATCAGTATAGTCAAGACCAAGAACCTGTGTACAACCTTTGGCAATAAGGCGGGCTTTAAGGCGCTCAACAGATCCATCAGGTAAGTATTTGGTTCGGAATACCCATTTGGAGCCCACAATGTTGGTGTTGGCAGGGCGAGGTACCAAAACCCAGGTGCGATTATTCTGTAATGCATGAGTTTCTTCATCCACAGAAGCAAGCCAAGCAGGATTTTTAACAGCAGATTTGAAACCTTTGAGCTCAGTCGATGCAAAAAGAGCAGAAAGAAGACCAGAAGAGCCCAAGAAACTAAGATTGGCAGGATATCGAGTCTTGAAAATGCCAGCTTTAGCTCTTGTAAGCATAGGATGAGTGGCCAACGGGACCATTGCAGTAGGTGTGGGATCTGCACCAGGTTCAAGAGGAGATGAACTTGGAACCGAGGTCTGTAAAGAGGCATCTGCAAGAGAATGAGGATCCTACAAAGACTCAATCACTGGATCAGTACACATAATACATGGATTAGAATTGGATCGAGTGAGTTGTGAAGAACGAGTGTCAGGGAGTGGGGGAGGTGGATCTGCATGGGTGAGGCTAGGTTCTAGAAAATTGAAAAAGTTAAGGAAGGATATGGGTTGAGCTTGAGAGGTAGCAATGAAGGAAAATGAGTTTCATCAAATTGAGCATGGCGAGTAATATAGAGCCTAGAGGTGGAAGGCTCGAGGCAACGAAACCTTTTGTGAGAGGACTGTAACCTAAGAAAATACGTGGGATGCTGCGAGGAGAAAATTTGTTAGGCATATAATCTCGTAAGCAAGGATACACACGACAACCAAAAGGGTGAAAGTTTTCATAGTTCGGAGGGTTACCATACAAAATCTCAAAAGGTGATTTACCTCCAAGGAGTGGTGTAGGCAAGCGGTTGATGATGTAAGCTGCAGTGCTGAACGCGTCAACCCAAAAGCGAGGAGAAATGTGGGAGTGAAAAAGGAGTGTTAATCCCATCTCAGTTACATGGTGATGTTTTCTTTCAGCACGACCATTTTGGGCGGGTGTGTATGGACATGAGAGCTGATGGTGAATGCCACTAGAGCGGAGATGATCTTGGAAGAAATTACTGGTAAATTCACCATCGCCGTCACTTTGGAAAATTTTAATTCGAGTGGAGTATTGATTTTCCACAAATTTTTGAAATTGAATAAAAACATTATAAAAGTCAGATTTCAATTTTAAAGGATAGAGCCACGTAAAACGAGAATAGTCATCGATAAAAATGACATAATAGACAAATCCTAAATTAGATTTGACTGGAGATGGATCCCAAATGTCGCAATGGATAAGATCAAGTGTTTTCGATGACCTATGTTCACTTCGAGAATAAGGCAAGCGATGATTTTTAGCAATTTAACATGTGCCACATAAAGTTGGAGAAGGCAACAAAGATGTAAGATAAAGCTGGCCTTTTTTATTCAATAGAAAAATAACAGAATGATTGACATGTCCAAGTCGTGCATGCCATAAATCATAGGACGCACGAAGCGATTTATTTTTAAGAACAGAAATAAAAGTAGAATGACTTCGCTCAAACACATATAAGCCTCCATCACGCTTGCCGGTTGCCACCACCCTTCCTGTTTTGCGATTCTGTACAGTGAATATGTTATTAGTAAAGGTAACGGATAAAGGAAAATCTGATGTTAATTTACTGATGGAAAGTAAATTCTTGGTAAGGCGAGGTACAGCTAGGACATCAAGAAGATTTAGATTTGGGGTAGGGGAAATTTTACCGGTATGGGTAATGGGTAGTGAGGCACCATTCCCAACAACCACACAATCCTTACCCATGTAATTTGTGGCCTAATCCAATTTAGAGTGATCCATGGTCATATGGGCTGAAGCCCCTGTATCCAAATACCAGTCAGAGCCCACATCTTCATTTAGAGAACAAGATCTCGTGAAGGTTTCAGCAAGGTGAGCTGCTGTCTCATTCTGATCATAGCATTGAAGGCACCGATCGGCAAAGTGGCCATCCATCCTGCAAATCTGGCATCTTGGTGGACGACGCCATTGGCTGTAGTTGGAGCGTCCTTGTCCACGACCAGATGAACTGCTGCCACGCCCACCAAAGCGATCCCGATGACTACGAGAATAGCCACCACGACGGGTGGGATTTTTTGTGACAGTAAAGGCTATCGTTGCTGGAGAAGATGAGTCAAGGGATTTCTGAAAAATTTCAAAACTTTCGGCCTTTGGGACTAAATCTGCAAATGAGGGCAGAGAAGTTTGGGCCATTTGTGCTGTGGAGAAACTAGAGAAATCAGTACCGAGCCCGCGGAGAAACCAGTGCACCTTGTCGGTACCATCAACTGGACAACCAATTGCATGTAGTTGATCACAAATTGCTTTGAAGGAACGGGCATACTCAACAATCGATCTATTGCCGCGTTTCATTAATTGCAAGTCATTCTTAAGGCGTAGTTCTCGAGCTTTAGAACGATGGCTAAATGCATTTTCTAGTACCAGCCACACGTCTCGTGCGGTGGAGAGGCCAACTACCTCAGCCACGGCTTCCTCTGTGAGGGAGGAAAGTAACAAATTGAGGAGACGCTGATCAATAGCTTTCCATGCTAGGTATTTGTCACTTGGCGTGAGAGAAGTGGTAGCGTCAAGTTTTGGGGGCTGCACAAGGGTGCCATCAACATGTCCTAATAATTCTTGATTTTCAAGAAGAGGGAGGAGTTGGGCTTTCCAGAGAAGATAATTTGAGGAGGAAAGTTTAATGATGATCATGTGGATTAAGGTATTGAAAGGAAAAAGGGTGGCAGAAGTTTCAGAAGCCATGAAGGGAAGAAGAAGAACAGGATATGTGGCATGTATGTTAAACAACCTGGCTCTGATACCATAAGAATGATTAAAATCCACCTTAGTTTCAGTGGTGTATCGTATTGTATTATCTAGAGCTTTACAAGATAGTATAAATGAAATACAAATCAATAATTTACAATGAAATGGAAACCGTGTAAATTAGCCTCCTTCAATTACGTAATTGGCATTGGCATGTTATGGGAAGATTGTGATTGAGGAATAATATCCTCAATCACAGTATTATTTCCAACATTATGGAGTGTTATCATCCTCCTATTTTGGAGTTATTTGTTCCTCCTATCATGGAGTGTAATTCGTCTTTTAATGGAGTGTTTTGTTTTTCTCCTTATGGAGTTTAATATATTTGTTTTCATTCAATAAATCTAATATTCATTTCCTTGCTACAGTATTTCAATTTTTTTATTTCTTAATCCTTGTTTGGGTCATATCCTTGGCAAAATGAGAATGAGAAATTGTGCCGTTGTGGCCCTATACAAGACACATGAAGTCAACAATTGTAGGCTAAATTTGACAAGCAACGATCGGAATTCTTCTATTTCTGCAAAAAAAAAAAAAAAATGCCTCTCAAAATGCGTTTTAATTTTGATATGGAAGCTTCTCTTAAAATGCCAATACCTCGAAGATGAAGAAAGCTTATTATACGGTTTCTCTTAAATGGTAAGATCTGCCCCCTTTATAATGATATTTTATTTCTTTAATTTTTTGTTAAATGTAGTTTTTTATTTATTTCTTAGATGCAATCATTCGGATGACAATCCTGATCCCGAATCATGTAGTTGTTCGTGAAAATTGCAAATGCTTATGAGGTAACTATTTACTTATTTTATTCCGGCAATTGATATCATTATTTTTTAAGGTAAATTTATGCATTTAAATTGCAATCAAAGTTGATGTCGATTCATTGACCATGATTTGCTTACTTCTTCATTCGATTAAGTTGTGACAATGAATTACTTGATTTCAGATAAAAATGTAATGTTTTCGCTGTGGTAGACTTAGATGACAAAATTGTTTGTAGTATAGATAAATTTATGAAGATCTTTTGTCAAATTTCTACTTCAAATATTGATTACTTCAAGATTGAAGTGTTTTTGGTAATTTTTTTTGCTATATTATGTTGATGATAAATTTGTGGCTATAAATTATTTTATTTAAAATTAACTGTAGGGTTTCTAATTTGTATCCTACATGATAAAATAATTTTAGTACAGAAAAATGATGTTAATCTTTTATGAATCTTCTAATTCAAATATTGATTATCTGAACATTCAAGTGTTTTTTTTTTTTTTTTAAATTAATTCTCCCATTATCATGTTCATGATAATTTTGTGGTGGTAAAATGTTGATAAGGGATAAACTCCATGAAAGGAAGATTAATGATTCATATAAATTACTTAGTGGAAAATGTCCCGAATAAATCCAACGAGTGATAAAATTAACAATCCACATTTTGTAATTTTAGCATGGTAAATAGTATAAAGGACTTCCTTGTTAATTGTAGATTTTGAAAGATGAAGCTACAAGGGAGCAGTATGATTATGCAATTGTACACCCAGAGGAGGTTAGTATGGTTGATGATTGTGCCTACATTTTGTATTATACATGCTAAGAGTCACTTGAAATTTTCACTTTTATTTTGGTTAGGAAATATATAAATATGTTTGTCAACACTATGCCTTTTCATATTTATGGCATTCTCTTTGTAAATAAAAAATATAATTAGCTAGATCCTGAAACGCTATTCCCATAACTTGTAAGGCAACTGACTTGATGATGAATGATCCTCTGTATAAATTATCATTATCATTATTTTTCTGTACTAGTGTTACATGTGTCATGATTAATAATAGGACTGTGATAGTTGCATCCATTGGAGATTCTCAGTGCATATTGGATGTGCATGGGGTATTGTTTCACTCGACTGTTGACCATCTATAGACCTCCCGATATTTTTCTAGCTTTTCGACATTTAATATCAAGCAAACTTTAGAAGTTATTTATTCATAAGCTGATGTAGTCTGATTTTTTATACATTCTATGGGCTTATAACTATATGGTCAAAAGAACACATCTCTGGTTCATGGAGAGCATGTGTATAATTTGGAAGATTGCAAACTGTTTACTCTAACTTGAGAAACTATTATTTCGAATCCACTTGTGAACTTCTTTTAGAAATGTGGATATCGAGCAACTTGCCAAAAAAAAAAAAAATAATGTCATAATTGCAACAATAGGTTGTGGGAATGTGAAAACTAAGCAAGCGGTAAATTAAGTATTTGCAAAATATAGGCAACTTGTAGTTTGACAAAGAAATGATTCCTTGATCGAGCGCAACGAAGGGTTAGGAATTATGTGGCAACTCCATGTAGTACATGAAGGGCTATGTTGATGTCCATAAGGGTTCTGTTGAGCCGCTCAGTGACCTCGAGATACTCTTACAATGAAATCGATGGAAAAATTGAGATACTGCTTATTTCCATCAGTCCTATTTAGAAGGATATTAATATCTTGTTAACATTTTTTTTTTGTATGTAATAACATATAAATTCATGCTATTGCCTGACCTTTTCAATGATCATATGATGATCAATTTTTTTTTAGGAACTAAAACTAGCTAACAGTTTTTATCTTGAATTATATTCCCCGTGAACTATTATTTTGGAAGTTGATATAACTTTTAGAACACGTCTGGCTTGTAGGAATGGATAGGACTAGATAATGTATTAAATCACATTTTAACTTCATTTTCATTATTACTACCATATTGAATGATATCAGGTTCAACTTACCAAAGATACCAGTGTTTGTCTGTTGCTGTAAGTTATTTTTGAAGTGATTATTTCTTTCACTTTTTCTGTTTGTAGAATCTATTTTTTAGTTAGTGGAATCAACAGTTGTAGTAGGTTGTGTTTCAACTTGTCTAAAATCTCAAGCTATGGTTGCAAGAGGGGATCTTGGAGCACAGTTGCCCATTGAAGAGGTTCCTATATTGCAGGTGATTGTTTTGGAAACATTTCTTCTTTTGGCCCCTTACAGTTCAATATGACAGATGGAACTTGGGTGATTACAGGGGCGGAGCTAGGAATTTTATTCAGTGCGGGCAAAATTTAATTAAGTTTGAACTTTTCAGTTGTGGTTTAATCATATTACGACAACGTTAAAAATGACATAACGATAACACTAATAAGATGATCAATTTCTTCCTTATTTTAGTATTAGTAGCAAGTTGTGCAATATCAAAATTTATTTTACTGGATATCTCCTTATCAACATTTTTTACGAACGATTTGCTTTTAAAAAATATCTTCATTGGCACTTCACACTAAAATAAACCACAAGTGACGATTAAATGCTAATTGATAAAAAAAATAACTACTAATATTTTCAAATTGGTAGAACACTAGAAAATCAGCACTAATTGTTTAACTAACTGACAATAATCAAGATTTCAAGAATCCATCACAATATTACCAATATTCAATCAAGAAAGTTTTTGCTGCATTGAAGAAACTGCTGATGAGAAGCAACTTTACACATGCTCTTGTTTGTAGTACATTGAAGTTTGGGTGCAGGAAATACATACTTTTCAAACAAGTTGGTTGGGATGGGGATTTTTCCTGTTGTTTTTATCTTTTAATTGATTCCTTTAGGTCAATTCATTCAATTATTTGGCAGCAGTAAAATATTGAATATTATAACATACAACATATTCACTGAGAAAGTCCCTTTAGAACAAATTTGATCCCATCTTTTGTTATATTGGATATGATCTTTGAAAATCTTTGGATTTGATAAGCGAAGTCATGGTGAAAGTAACTGTAAAAACACGGCCTCTTATCACATATTGGTTTTGTATCTATGATATTGCGCTATACTAAATATGATTGAATTGATTCCATTTCCTTGGAAAATATCCAATGAAAGCCGTCAAGGTCATGCGCACGCAATCTTTTCTTCATTTTTTTTTCACTCTTTGAATGCTTCATAGCTATATTTTTGTGGGTCAAATAATATGAAAATTTACCTCGTCATATTAAGTTAATTTTGCTAACTTCATTCAATGAACATCTCATGTCAATACTAACATTCAATACGCTAATATTACCTTAAAAATAACGTAGTCGGTGCGTTGCATGGACATAAAACTAGTATTAAAGGAAAATTGGACCACCCAATAGTACACTAAAAGTTGGTCCCATTACTGCAATTTTTCATGTACCCACACAATAGGCAAGAAATTGAATGAATGCTCACTAGGGCTACGGTCGTCGGCACCCTGTCATTAGGTCACCAACTTTTTTGACCTTTCGACATTGGGCAGGCATCAGCCCCCATACGTGCATCAAACTTTACCTTATATTACTAGTTGTTTACCCAACAATAAAACATAATCGATTGTTCACTCATCTTTTAAATTGATTACTCGTTCAACTAAATGAATGTACCATGTGGCGAACGAAAATCCGGTGTGGCACATCCCAACTTTGTATTTTGTGTCATTATGACACCCTAATTTGATTTTATTTCATCATAGCCATCCAACTTTATATTTAGGGTCACAGTAACCATTCAATTTGATTTTATTTCATCATGGCTATCCAACTTCATAAAACGTTTCACTATGACCACTCAATTTCGTAAAGCGTTCATTATGACCATCCAATTTCATATAATGTTTCACCGTGGCCACCTAATTTCTTTTCACTCATTTTAAAAGGGGTAAAGTAGTAACTTTGTATTATATATAAAATAAAATAATTTTTTAAAAAGAATAATAAAATAAAAACTCATTTCGAAAAAGTTACTTAAAAAAATAAAATAAAAATGTTTTTTTAATGTGAAATTGAGCGGTCATGATGAAACGTTTTATGAAATTAGGCGGTCATGATGAAATAAAATCAAATTAAGTGGTCACGATGACATTGAATATGAAATTTTGATAGCTATGATGAAACAAAATTAAATTAGATTGTCATGGTGATATTAAATACAAAGTTGGATAGCCACTGGTTGATTTGACCCTAAGTATGACGTTGAACAAAGATTGTAAATTTTTATTGTAATTGACGCACAATAAATCAAGTAGAAAATGTGATGTGAATCTAATTATCTAAAGAATAATATTATTCATAGTCCCTCACTATAGTAGTCGTCTTAGGTGGCATCCACATGGCAAGTGATTATTTGATGTATGAGTCAATAAAAAATTACCACATTAGTGTATCAAATAATCATATGCCATGTGGATGCCACGTAGGACGATTGTTGTAGTGACGATTACAAATAATATCACTCTAATATGATAGATAATTCGAGTTTGGCCACATAAATCGACAAAAAAGGAAGCGGGAGTGGAAGTAATTTTTAGTACGTGTTGAGGGATGGTTGGCCCAGAATGTTATGCGTGGAACGATTAACCATCTCAGAAGCCTCCGCGCAAATACCATTGATTTTAGTCCTTGGAATTTAGCGTCTGTTTGGCCCCCTTTAAAACTCATTAAATTATTTTTCTTACCACTTTTCAACCCTCCTTTTTTGACACAAGTGGAGCCCATTTCTGCCACTTTTCTTATTCACTGGCAGTAGTTTATTTCAGTCAAATGAACCGTTGAGGTAGCTAAACAAAAACACCCTCCAATATCAATGACAAAAGACAAAATTACCCCTCATTCAATCACCATTATCCACATTTCCATTGGTTAGTGGTTGGGCGGGTATTATTGTCATTTAGGCATATAAAGTGAAGTGTACCCTTCATTATTCATGAAAACATTTCCTTTCATGGTACATGTACGTTCTGAACAATTTGACACATGGAACCCGCTTTTGTTTGACAAATTGGCAAATAATATGAATTAATGAGTTTTAATGGGAGGCCAAACGAGGGCTTAGGTTAAAGCCAAAGTTCGGTTCTCTAAATTTCAAAAATATTCTTAGAAATCCTTCTGCTTTGATCTGTATTTCATTATTCCGAGCGAACTTTACTAAATCTGATTATGCGAGCAATTTTGACCTTGAAACGAATGTCTAAAGTTAAACAACTAAATGATAGGTAGTTATACTCGCTCATCATATTTTAATTATAATGAATGCTTTTATTTTTTGCTCAGTTTCACAATTGTGTGCCGAATTTTTTCATCACGTTCTTATTTTTAACATTTTCTTAATTTGCATATCTTGTTAATTATTCCGAATATCATCCAAAAAAATTCATTAGGAGAGTCTATAAAAAGTTGTTTGCCTCTCATATTTTAAAATAAGCAAAATAAATAATAAATACAAAAGTTGGACAAAATATTTATTCCTAGTTTATTTTAACATAAATCGTCATCAAAGACAAGATGTGCAAATTAATTGAAGGTTAATGATAAAAATATGAGTAAAAAATTTGGGGACATAAATGAAAAAGGAACACAAATTGAAGTGTGTAGATACTAAAACTGTGATGTGAATATAATTGACTTTGAAAGATTAATTTTAAGATGGTTATATTGATACACAATTTTTATTTGATGCACTTGCCTCACATTTTAATTTCAATTGAAGTTCTCAATCTTTACAAATTATAGCATATTCTTCCTTTAAATTTTAAAATATAACATTCCATTAATTAATCAATCATGTTTTTAATGATTTGTGTCAAAATATTCTGTTTGTGTTCTTGAGAATTTTTTTTTCACATTTTAGCATTTTCTTTTTAAGTATGATGAGAAAATAAGTCAGGTGATGACCTCTCAATGGACTTTTTGGATGAAAACTGTTATCATAAATGAGATGTGCTACTTAGGGCATGTTTGATAGCACATTATTTTTTATGAAAAATGGAATTCAAATTCCAACTTCTATTTTTTGACTGTTTGATAGCATATATTTTTTAGGTAATTACTTTTCTTGCCACCTAAACATTTTCTTGCTTTTTCTTGAAATCTGCTGCCGAATTTTATTTTATTTTTATTATTTTTTTGGACAATGGAAACAAATTTTATCCTTAATTGTAAAAAAATATTTTTCTTTAATTAACAATTTTCATGGAAAACAAAGACAAACGAATACCAAAAGATAGATAATTTTCTTAGCTATTTTCTTTTTTGTGCAATGGAAACAAATTCTATTCCAAATACCAGTGAATGATATCCTTTTAATTGACAATTTTCATATAAAATAAAGCCAAACATACACCAAAAAATATTTTTATTTCAACATTTTTCACGTGAAAAATTATATCGATCAAGCACAATAATTGACAATTTTCAGTAAAACAATTTCTAGGTAATTTAATTTCCTGAAAATCGTTTTCTTTCCATCCAAATTTCATATTTACAATCAAACGGACCCTTAATGTAAGGTTGGGAATAATATTAAGATGAAAAAAAGGTGCAAACATAGTTGCTTCAATATATTGAACAAGGCTTGATGAGCTCAAGTGCAATTATAATGTGGTACAACAAATAAAAATTATGGCACAAATATGAATATCCTAATTATTAACACTATAATTTTTATTTGTTATATTACATTTTAATTGCTATAAAGGTTCATAACCTTTTTAATCGTTGTGCTTATATTTCAATTTTTTTGTTCGTATTCTTATTCTCAACCACCCATTAATTAGTATATTATAATTCGGCTCAAAAGTTATGTGGACATAAAACACGTATTTTTGCATTATATATTTAAATAAGAAAAAAATTTTAGATACAGAAGTTTGACAAAATATTTACTTCTTATTTCAATGCCCATAACAAAATATTTGGACGAAACCGTTATCAAGAACATGAGTTTCTAATTAATTGCATGTTATAACGACCTAAAAATTTTGGAAACAAATATTCGAGCACAGGTTGGAGAGTTTCGTTGCATTTAAAACTTAGTGTGCTAAGAAAAATGTAGCTCAAATATTATACACTAGTTATCGATATCCGGAGGCCGGCTGCCTAAATATGAATTATTATTATTATTATTATTATTATTATTATTATTATTATTATTATTATTCAGGGTTGAAAGCCATATGTATAGAATTTTCTTTAGCCATAATTTGTAGATTTCATCTTTTTCATTTTTTTCCTAATCTTTTCGATTCTCATGTTTTTTATATTATTATATCAATTAAAAGGGTGCTATAGTCTTTTCAATAGTTGAAAGGACGGATCAATTGCAATGCAAAAGGTTGAAATGAGGATATCACTGTCAAGAATGAAAGGAAGGGCTATGTTTTCCAAGCGAGTCCATAAGTTGTGGACAATTTGTGCAAATAAGCATAACTTTCAATTGTATGACATTAACAAATAAATACTTGCAACAACTATACACCAGCAAAGACATTTTTGTTATTGCTTTCTAATTAAAAGTTAAAAGACTTTATTTGTAATAACTAATTTGAACAAATTGCAAAAAATATAGAAATAATTGTTTTGATCATTTTATGAGTCATTG